AACTAAAGTGACCAGAAAAGTGACCAAAATAAATATAACAAATAAATAAATGACCCCCCACCGCCGCCACCGTTTTCTGCTTTAACCTGAGTTATTACTTTGAAGTTTCTGGCCCCTCAGCATTTTTATCTCAATTGTTAGAAATACGTGGGAAACTGCCCAGAACTGACAATATATATATATTTTCCGAAGATTCCTCGGAGGAGAGCCGGGGCCTACACAGCTCGTACTCCTGCGGCTGTGAGTGGCTGAGATGATAAAAAAAAGTTGGTTTCGTTATCAGACTGGTTTTCACTGGTTCCCGACACATTTTCCAGATGACTGTGGTTTGTTTTTGGTCCGACTTGCCATGACCGAAATACTGCCAGACTGCCGAACTACAAAAACCCTTCTTTGAAACAATTTCTTCCGCCTCTCCTTGCTGCACAGCTTCATGTGCTCTGTGTTGTGGTTTGAGAGGGCGGCGCTTGGTGATGGCGTGCCTGGGTCCGCGATTGTGATTGGTTGGGAGGAAGCAGTGACTAGCATAAACCTACATGCTAGGCTACAATGAGAAGGAAGGAAAACTGCATTTCTTTTTTATCAAACTTTTATCGACCCTCTTTTTTTCTATTGCGCCACAGGTCTATCGATCGATATATATCGTTATTGAATTATCGCCCAGCCCTATATATATATATATATATATATATATATATATATATATATATATATATATATATATATATATATATAGGGTGGAACAGTTCACAAAATCCATGGTTCGGTTCGGTTCACGGTTTCGTGGTCACGGTTTTCGGTTCAGTATATGTTGATTGTTACACCGAAAAATAAAAAAATTTATAAAAATTATAAAAATGTATGAAAAAATTTAAATGTATGAAATTAATGAAAAAATCCAAAGAAATTAATGAATTGTAATTATTTTTAATGATCTGCGGAAACCCTGGATCATTTCTGCATTTTTTGCTGCTTTGAATTGAATCATCTCGCGCACGCTCTCTACCATCTCCAAGGAACTCAGAGCGGAGCGGACGGGAGCCACAGTGGAGGCTGTAGGCTTTGCTTTGTACAGACGGTCTGGAGCGCAGCGCTGACGGAGTATGTGGGATTTCGGGGTTAGCGTGACATGTTGGTCATGTTGCTGTAGCATAAACAAAACGTGTTGCACAATGCTAGCACACTGTTGCACATTTATTCACAACTTTCTTTCCGCAGTCATCGTAGGTCACTCTAAATGCAAAGTGGTCCCATACAGCAGACCTATATATGGTTTAAAGCTAGGTGGTGTTGGTATCAATTATGGTTTCCATAACTCCAATTACCGAATGAGAATTGGGAGGGGGAGGGAGAGAGAGATTTTCCGTTATACATTATATTTATATATATTTTCCATTCTCTTCTGTAAGGGCAGGGCTTTATGTGAATATAGCATTAGCAACATTAGCAGTTAGCTATGGTTAATTTGCGATCCTTTACAAGTCTCTTACACAATAGGTAAAAAGTGACACAAGCATCAACACTTGGCAACTGCCTGCAGGTGAGCCCCTGATTGGCAGAATCAATTATTTTGTTGGAATAGAGACAGGAGCCCCCAGTGGCTTAAAGATGTAGTGTTGCTTTAATAAAAAATGGCCAGGCAATGTCCCCTCTGTGTGCCTGATATTAAAAAGGCTTTTTACTTGCATAGGACAAAATAATTACAAGGGAGACGTTCTACGATTTTCTGAAACTTAATCCATGAATTTTGTCAACTAATGTGATAATCAAATCATTTACTTGAGTATAAGGACACTACATTATGCTATTTCCTGAAATGGTGACCCACTCAGAAAAGTAATGAATCCAACCTTTTTTCATTTAAGATGAAAAGTCCTTGTAAATATGCTCTCATTTAGCTTAAACTGGTTCAAATATATACATGTTTGTTCATTTCATAGGAATGCTGTTTCACTAAAAGCTTTTTTAAATGGATTAATTGAAATCAGGTAGTAAAATAACTTACAGCTGTAGCCCTAATAGATTAACATGCCCTTCCCAGTTGGCTTTGTTAGCCTAAGTGTTTGTCATCGCCCACAGTTTACACAATGTCGGCCAGTATTTCTGAATTTTCCTTGTTCCGTCGTAAATATTTCTTTTTCTTTTTTACCAAAGCAGTTCCAGCTCACAACCACAGCCGCTGTTGGAGCTACTTCCTCCCTTAAAAGTCTTTCTGTTAGCACCTAGTCGTGGTGTGTTAACTGACTGTTTTTCTGTGTTTCATAATATTTTTCATTTTCCACAGCACACATTAGGTGTGGCTCTTGTCTAAGGCTCTTTTCCTTCCAGGACAGAGTAGGGATGTTAAGATTGACGGGTTTGCATGGATTAGCAGAAACGCATGCGAGAATAAATAGAGCAGCTGTGAAAAGATGCAGTTTGGGGGATTAGATATAGTTATAGTTTTTACCCCAGCATGTAAATGAAGGCTGTTTCTTCTAAGGAGTAGATCCAGAGGCAAGGCTAGAGGCGTTTAAGCATGAATTAGCACAGCTTATCTTATTCCACTCATGAGCGACATGTGAGCGTGAAGGTCTACCTGTAACCTGGGGCTGGGTGATATCAAGATCAGACATTGCGATATATTTGAGCTATATCGCGATAAGTGATATATTTACAATATGTTCAAATAACTCCACATCTTTGCATGTTACAAAAGACATTTTTTGGACCAGGGGTTTCATTGTTTTCTTAAGGCCAATTTATGCTTCTGACGCATAGCCTCTGCAACCGTCAAATCTGTCTCTGTGCATGACCATGCCTCCCACGCAGAGGTTCTGCAACTGTCATCGCTCACCTCAAAAAATCCTGACTACACGCCGGACGGGTGCAAAACCGCGCAGACCTCAAGTGGAAGTGCGCAGACAAAAAGCAGCTGTGATTGGTCTTTGGTATGTCTTTCCGGCTGTCTGTGTGGTCGTCCTTCTCGATTCGGTGCCAAGGCGCCCCATTTTTAAAAACCAAGGAACAATTACATGGACAACTACGACAAAAGGTTAATCAATGAGGTTCGGAAGTATAACCACTTACATGATGCCTCAGACAAATTATATAAAGATGCCAATGTCTCTGCCAACTCCTGGAGGGAGATCAGCCAGAACCTGTTCCTCTTCGATGTCTAGCAACTAAGGATGGAACGGTATATGAAAACCGTCCGAACCTTTTTCTCATAGGCGAAGCGTGTACACTCCAGAGCAGAAGGTGGCGGTACTGCGACCAAAGCCAACCACCAGTAGTAAACAAGAAAAAGAAGCGAAGCAGCGTAGCCGGGTGTAGCAGAAAAAAGATCAGTTGTTGTGGAGAATTGTGTGGGTATGGCGAGTGGGAAAGAACAGGAGTTGGAAGACGCGCCAGCAGCACTTTATAGGTCTGCTGTATGGGACCACTTTGCATTTAGAGTGACCTACGATGACGGCTGAAAGAAAGTGGTGGATAAAAACAGTGTGCAACACGTTTTGTTTATGCTAACAGCAACACGACCAACATGTCAGGCTAACAATCAACATATACCGAACCAAACCGAAAACTGTGACCACGAAACCGTGAACCGAACTGTGGATTTTGTGAACCGTTCCACCCCTACTAGCAACTCTAGATCTATCTCTGAGACCGTGATATCTTGCAGATGCACCATTGTTGTTTTAATAGATAAACACTCCCGTCGGTGCCGCTGAAGTTCTCGTGACCATCCGCCGAAGTTCTCACGAGTTCTCCAATAGCCCCCCCCCCTTGCGCTTTGGCGGGAAACTGCTGTGAGTCCCTAGAAATTCCAGACCAACTGGGCAGAAGCATACTAGCATAACTGGTTGGCGACCAGACCCAAGCGACATTTGATGTGTGTGGGTGCAGAAGTATAATCTGCCCTTTAGCCTTCATTGCTCTTTGGTTAAATTTTTTTTTTTCTTTTTTTTTTTTTTTTTCAGGACTTTTCTGTTGCGTTTAGAACTTCTTCATTTCCGATATGATGACTATATTGACACGATAAGATATCGGCAGGCGTGCCTGAATCTGCCCACTGTAGGTGTATTACTGCCCCCTAAAGGGCTGGAGGGACATCAAGTTACTAACTTTATTTCACCGTTTGTGATTTAAAAGGGTTTTGTTTTTTCGAGCTTCAAATATAGATATTATAACAGATCATGTTTTCTCTCTACAAATAAAAAAGTGATTAAGCCAATTTTACTCAACATAAGTGTATTTTTTTTTATTGTTTTGTATTGAGCAGGTAATTAAGACAATTTGCCAATGGAATCAGATCATGAGTTTAAAAAAAGAAAAACACGTCTATAATCTAATTTCAATTGCATAATAATTCTTATTTTAAGGGATAGAATACTCGATCTGTTGGACGATCGTAATATTTACCTGCTCAAATTAATTTATGGGTTCATCTCTGCTTAAAAGACTACATTTCATTTCTCACCAAAGGTAAAAGAAAAGTGCTTCTGGTATGTTTGTTATAAAAGAATATATTTTTACTTAATTCTGGAAATAATTTAAATGTGTCTGTTTTAAAAGTACAGAAGATCTGATCTCTGCAAATATTTGTCATACCAAAAGGTTTAGAGCTCAAGAATTCGGAAGCAGCCCCGTGTCGCTATGCTAACCTGCTCTATTATACAGTCAAAAACCCCCCAGAGTAATGCTGAAAAATGCTGCAGAGTAGGAGTTTAACATGTGAGAATGATTACACTCTCAGATTGTCTTTTTTTAAAGTAGCACAGCTTGTGTAACTCCAGTTAACTGGCTGTAGGACAGAGGCCCATAAAGCTTAAGTAGCTGTCCCTACCTTTCAACATCTGCTCCTCTCCACTTAGCTTTGCATTTCTGTCTTTAAAAGTCATAAAAACTAGTCTTCTAATGTGAATTTAAAGTATTTTTCTTAAATCCATTCATTCTGTTTACCCTGTTTCACCTCTTCACTGTTTCTCTTCTCTCTTCCTCGGATGTGGTTGACACAGGAACCCCTCCATGGCTTTCTACCAGGCCTTCCAGTCTGGAAGCAGATTAAGAGACTCAAAGGCTCACAGTGATAGGTACAGTACTGCGCTGGATTGGACTGGGCAGGCCTGCCAGAGTGTAACAAAGCGTGTGCAGTGTTCAGCAGCAGTGAGCTTTGCTTTTGACACGTGCATGGGTTGAGTTTGGAAACAAAGCTTGGCAGCGAGCGCAGCGTTGGCCTGTAGGCTTCTCAATAAGATCCCTCTCTTTAATTCCCTGCAGGCATTCTTCAGTGCCTCCAGTGACATCATGTAACACCTCTGTCACTAGGAAGTTATGAGGGGCTGTTTTTTTACGAGCTTTGCTAACAGATCTACGCAGCAGGATAATTATTCTGATCTCCAGTTTCAAAGATGAAGGAAAAGAACACGGAGGCAAACAACTCAAATGGTCCAACTGGTAGTGGGATTAGAAACCAGTTCAGCCAGTCCTCACCTCTTTTTATTCATGTAAAAAAGAAATAGACGGAATTCTTTGTATTTTTTTTCTTCGCTGCAACCTTCAAATGTTTAACACTTTGTCACATTGCAGGCTGACTGTATTTAACTTGGGTTCCAGGGGACACAAGCCGATAAAACACCTGAAGGTTGTTGGGGTTTAACGACCCATCCGCCTCCTCGAGTCAAGACCCATTCGATCTAAATATTTTTCAGGAAATGCTTTTAAATTTTGTCCCATTCCACTTAAAATCTGTCCAATTAGGTGGAGAACAACTTTCTAGTTTTTGCACCAGTGGCGGTTCTAGACTAAATGTTTCAGGGGGCCAGAAGGGGGGCCAGCGTGTTTTCATCGGAGCACAGAAAACCATGAAGCAAAAAAAACCTTGCAAGTGATTAAAATATATTAAGAGAGCTGCATAAGGGGAAATTTCCATTCAAAAAAAAATTTGAGAAAATGTTCTCTTGAATTGTCGTTAAAATCAAAATAAAAATCCCTTAGCATAGCAAAAAAAGCAACTCAAAAAATTATAGCTATATAAATATCTAAAAGATCAAATAAAGCTATTATTCGGATTGTTAGGTTAATATACATTCATAATTTAGGAATTTTACATATTTTAAAATTATTTCAAGTTAAAATGACAGTTTTCTATTAAATCTGAATTAGAACTCAAGAAAAACTGATTAATTCAGCTGTATTTTTTAGATTTGTTTTGAAAAAAAAAAACATTTAGCAGATGAAAACTGGGACCCTATCTCAATACTACGGAAGAGGATTAGGGCCACTGAAAAAAAATGAATAAAAGTTAACTGATTTTTAAATTTCTTTCAGTTATATATGGGAAAAAAGTCAGAATTCTGACTTTTTTTCTCAGAATTCTTACTTTAATCTCAGAATTCTGACTTTAATCTCAGAATTTTGGACCTTAATGTAGATGGGCACCATGAAGGAAGAGATGTGGAGCACTCAGCTTCACTGACAAAGATGTGAGTTGTTTGAGGTGGTCAGTGACACATTGGTGGAAAATGACGGAATTAGGCAACTTTTTACGTGCCCGAGGGGTCCCCTCATTAACGGAGGAGCAGAAGGTCATTAAAACAAGAGAGCTAGTCTCTAAAACAGACATGGCTATGGCTTGATGCTAACATGTGTGTTATCTGTCAGAGTTCTGAGATTAAAGTCAGAATTCTGAGAAAAAAGTCACAATTCTGACTTTTTTTCCCATTTGAAACTCAAATAAAATTTTAAAATCTGTTAACTTTTTTCTTTTCTTTCAGTGGCCCTAATCCTCTTCCGTACAATACCACTGAAGCTATCACCTTATTTTTTTTAGAATGATTAGTAAGACAGAATCTTAAAAAAAAAAAAAATGAACCATGTCTCTTCCAGCGCATATCATTGGAATTTCTTTTAGTATTATGTCTTGGGCACAGGGGCCATAACAGTGGCCAGGGAATGATCTACAGGGGCACTGGCCCCCGTTGGCCCCCATCTAGAACCGCCCATGTTCGGCACAGATTCTAAAATAGCTTTGGCTTAGGACTTTGACTAGGCCATTCTGACCCAGGAACATGCTATGATCTGAACCGTTCTCTTGTATTTGGATGTTCAGGTTTGCTGTAATCTGACCAGCAGCTTCTCCCTCATGCTTATTTAGTTAAGCTGAGCTCTGAGAGATGCTCAAAGTTTAGGTGAATTGGTTTCATAACGTAATCCTGCGTTACAGCAGCACTTCACATCTTTACTAACCATCTCCTCTGGTCTTTATGATGTAAGGTGTGAATTTGGTCAGTTATTGTTGCTGCAAGCAAAGAGCACGTTTTGTACTGTAAATGGAAATAAAAACAAAAACATAATTCAGAAATTTAAAACCTTTTTTAAAAATCAAAAAAATTTCAGAGTAACTTTGTCCTTTTCTTAGATTATGCTTTTTATTTTTTTTCTTTATTTTTCTTCTTTCTTTTTTATTTATTATTATTATTTATTTATTTTTGTTTTTTCAGATTGAGTTTTCCTTCTTTTCAAACTGAATTTTCCAAATCCCATTCTGTTAACTTCTGGGAGGGGCTTTCCTGTGGAGTTAGCTGCAAAGACATATTTTTATCACCATTTATTGTTATTTTACAGATTTTATATTTTCAAATTAATTTTTTTTTACTAGTTTCTACGGAAGAGGATTAGGGCCAACAGATTTTTTTATTTTATTTCAGTATAGTATGGGAAAAAAGAATTCTGACTTTTTTTTTCTGAATTCTGACTTTAATCTCAGAATTCTGCCTTTTTTTTCTCAGAATTCTGACTTAATATCAGAATTCTGACTTTTTTCCCATACTATACTGAAATGAAATTAAAAAAAGCAGTTAACTTTTTTTTTTCTCAATATTTTTTTTTTCTCAAAACTCAATATGAAGACGAGAAATTAATAAAAAATTATATTAAGAATGCAAAAATACACTTTTTTTCTTACTGACTGAAAAGCCTTACATTGAAAAAATGTTTTCTGAAAAGTTTTTCTTTTTTATTTACTTTAAAACCTTTTTTAAAAAACGTGTTTTTTGCTTGCTACAATAACGGAGCAAAATAGCCTCCATAACAATGTTGTTTGTCCTCCGACGTTCTCTTAATAACCTCTGAGACCCAAAGCAGAGCAGCTTCCTGTATCCTGAGAGTAAATCACAAACCTCTTAGCCAATCAGACCACGTTTTAATGACGTGGGGTGAAAAAAAGAGCTGAACTCTGTTCAGATTTGGTGTCTAATTCTGACAGGTTGGGTAGCAGCTGTGACAGAGCAGTTAAGGTGGAGTGAGTAGATGTTCATACACCTTTTTAGTTTCAGTCCGTCATAAAGTGCAGCCGTTAAATTAAAATGAGGCTGAAAAATGTGTTTTTTCAGTGAAGTTTGTGAAGTCGTGCGAATGAACAAGAGTTTGTGTTGACCACCAAACTTGTACGTTAGGAGAACTCACCTCGCCTCTTTTCTTCTTGTGTTCTGGTCTTAGTTTTATTGGAAAGCTGATGCAGATTTGGTGTATTTAGAGATGTCTCCTGTCTCCTATCGGGAATACAGAAGACAACATAGAAAACTAACTATAGGGTCTGTTAGAACTGATCGTTTATAAAGAGATTATAGATATATGCAGGCCTGCTGGTCTACCAATAAGTTTGATTGTTGATGTTTGCTCTGTCATGTTTTCATTCACATTTGCTTCTCTATCCTCCCTGCATGCACCCACCCCACCTGTCAGAAATAAATACATTTACTGAAAGCAGATATTTAATTTTGTGACGTTTGGCTAAGGGTATCGTTCCTGATGACGGATTTATTTCATATTTTCTTTCAGCAGTTGGTTTGGGAATGCTGGCATGTCTCTTATCGCCAACCCCCTCAGCTGTTAGCAACAGTTTGTCTTAGGGAGTGAAAAGAATGAAAGAAAATTGATGTTTTGATGTTGTAATCAGCTACGCTGATTGGTCGATTTGAGCTGCGCATTAGTCAGACATTCAGGCAGAGGTCTTAATCAGCAGCAGCTCAGACGCAGGTTTGTTCTTCAGCTTTTTTTAACCAAACGTTCATTAAAAACGTGGTTTGACAGAGTCAACAGCATTTCAGTCCCTTTGAGTTTAAAATGAGTCAGATAGAAGTGAAAGATGTGTTTTGATTTTGTTTTATTGGTTTTTAACATAGAAACTGTTTTAACATTTTACAAACCAACTTCTTTTCACAATAAGCTGCTTGTTAAATAGACATTCAGGTTTTTTTTTTTTAAAACACAAACTTCTTACTAGTAACCATTTTTTCCTTGTCCTGATGGAGACTTTTTTTCCCAGTGTTATAAACATGCCAAAAAAAAACCAAAAAAAACCCCAATCGACTGGACTTTGTTTCCAAGTTTAATGACATTTTGCTTCCCGTCCAGGAAGCTTTTTCAATTCCAAATGTCAGAATTGGCTTTAAGTTCGAGGTTTTATGCAGTACGCCAAGAAAGCCTTGTTTTTACGGAAGAGGATTTGAGCCACTGGGGAAAAAAAAAAAAAGTTTACTGATTTTTAAATTTCATTTCAGTTTAATATGGGAAAAAAGTCAGAATTCTGACTTTTTTCTTAGAATTTGGCTTTAATCTCAGAATTCTGACAGCTAACAAACATGTTAGCATCAAGCCATAGCCATGTCTGTTTTAGAGACTAGCTCTCTTGTTTTAATGACCTTCTGCTCCTCTATTAATGAGGGGACCCCTCTTGCATGTAAAAAGTTGCCTAATTCCGTCAATTTCCACCAATGTGTCACTGGCCCTCTCAAACAACGTCCTTTGTCTTTGTCAGTGAAGCTGAGTGCTCCACATCTCTTCCTTCATGGTGCCCATCTACATTAAGGTCCAAAATTCTAAGAAAAAAAGTCAGAATTCTGAGAAAAAAATTCAGAATTCTGAGAAAAAAGTCAGAATTCTGAATTTTTTCCCCATGTTAAACTGAAATAAAATTTAAAAATCGGTTTACTTTTTTTTTTTCAGTGGCCCTAATCCTCTTCCGTATGTTTTGGCTTCGAAAACATACAAATTGAAACGAATGAACAGGTCCAACCCTTTGGAATGGGGG